GAATGATTTGGGAATGAATATAAATCCTTAGAACTCCAGCCCAATGTGATGTTTAAGTTTACATACTTTAGCTACATTTCATTTGGAAAGTACACATTAATGAACTGTCCCTTGCATGTGCACGCGTGATCAAGAAATATCAAAGATGGTTTTATGCTTGTGAAAATGCCAATTTTTCATAAGGTCAATCAAAGTGGCTATTCTTTTAAATGAGGAACTTATAAAATATTTAAATTGCTTTCATATGATAAATAGATGCATTTTTTAAAAAAAATAAAAGCATGAATACCATTTCTTTTAAAATGACTTGATTTAGAACATTTCAAAGTACCATAAATATATTTGAAACTACGTTTTGGAATCGATTCCATAGTTGGTTAAATTTTCAACTAACTATAGCACTTTTGTAGGTTATAAAAACCTAAATCATGTATCCATTTGCAACTCCCATATTATTAAGGCAATAGAGCATTTTTAAGCTTCATTATTTAATTTTGAATGTTGAATTCTCATGAAAAAATCTTTCACAGAATATGAAATGGAGAGTATGATATATAATCTCGGATAAGCCCTTTCACAGATAAATTGACCCTCACAAGTGTGTACAGTAATTTGTACTGCTTTAAAGAAATATGATTGAAATATAAGGATTATTCTTACGCACCAAAGGATACATGCAATAACAAGGTAGTATGATCTTTATAAAGGCCTTGAGAGTTTTTGTCTCCTTATGAAAATTGTGTTCTTTATGTAAAGTTTGTCATAAAAGGAAATTTTTAGTGATACGAATTGTTTACATGCACTTCATTTTTTTCATGTAAAGGCACTTTCAAGCTTGCTATGTAAAAATTGAATATAATCTACATACACCGTACTACCTCAGTATGACAATATGGGATTATTTTTAGTATGTATGTACAGTATTTATAAATATTTATATATATACACAAATATACACTGTGCGTATATATAAAATATATACTGTGTGTGTATGCACACACATACTGTATATACTATACTAGGTGTATGTATGTGTACACGTATATATACACACACACACAAACACAAAGTATGTGTGTGTGTCTGTATCAGAAGTGTGCCAAACACTTCAGTTTTGAAATGCTCCCTTTCAAGTGAAAGATATATAGAGAGCTTTATTGGTTGATATAGATGGGCTGCATGTTGTAGCAATTTTCCAGGCTTTTGTGTCTGATGTCATTTTGTAGTTATGACTTCCTTGTGAACTGATTAGCTCCAGGACAAAACTTTCACAGTGTGAAATACTGCATTTTCTACACAGTTACAAGTGTATTAAATTGGCTTCCTAAGAAGCATGGTTCTTGTTAATGAACTGAGTAGCCAGAGAGTAACAAGGAAAGTATTTATGAAATACTTAAACATTCTGGTTGTGAGATATTTAGAACTTTTGCAAGAAAGTGAAAAAAGTGCATTAAATGGATATTCACTTTCCCTTATATTCAGGTACTCTTAATTAGAAATTTAATAGTCACACTACTGTTTTGCCATATGAGACTAGCAGCATAAGAAATTTTATGACAAAATTATTTTAAAATTCCTTGTTTAGACTAATCAAGAAACTGTTAAATGCTGGAAGCATATGCGGATATTAGAAATATGCACAGAATGTTATATAATCATTAAAAACTTACATTTTATAGTAGACAAATATTAACCATTGATATATTTTCTTGAATCAGTTATCCAGGATCTCATTATTATCTTTTAAATATTTGAAATAATGCCTTAATGAAGTCTTAGATTTTATTTTAATATACAGTATATATTATGGTAGCTAGCGTTTTAAACAGCAATAGTTTCTTGCATTGTGCAGTATTTTAAATACGAAAATTATGCATAGCAGTTGTTTGTAATAAAAATATTTAAGTATATTGTTGGGCTGCAAAAATGTGATAAATGAATTGTATAAATATATTTTTATATTAAAGCTGCTGTAGAGAATATTTAAATCATTGCATGTATAGAAAGTACTCTGATTTTCTTAAAACCAGCAGAAACATAAACATGGATTCTGATCAGTTCAGCCTGAAAATGTTCCTTTTTAAAGATTGAAATGGAATACACATGCAGTTGTTAGGTGTACGACACCGTACCTTTAAAATTTCTTTGTATAAGCATTTTCTATTAAAATAATGACTACAAAGATGGTCCGAAAAATGTAAATGTGTTTTAGTTTTCAGCATGATAGCTGCTATCTGTTTTGGAACACTCCATTGCAAGTTTGCATTATAATTGGATTAAATACAAATGCAAATTTGTGACTTTGGCCAAATGGGGAAAATGCTATTACAATTGGTGGTTGGGCCTACTCAGAACATTATTAGTAGTGTAAAATAGGGATGCTTGCATGCTTTCCTACAATAAGGAATATTATTACATTGAAGTTCCATATTTATATTAATGAAGGAGTCTTCCTACTCTCTAAACTTTCAGAGGCAATGTCTGAAAGATATGGGCAGTGCTTGACTTATGACCATTCGTTCAATGACCCTTTGGAGTCACAACGGCACTGGCAAAAGTGGCTTGTGACCACTCCTTGCACAACAACCATTACAGAAATCACTGTCATATGATTGTGATTGGAGTGTGACCCCTGGCTCACGCAACAGTTGAAGTGTCATGTGATCACCATTTGTGACCTTCCCAGCCAGCTTCCGATAGCCAGTGGGAAAGATGGTAGGGAAAGTTGCAAGTCAGTCACATGTTTGCCTTAACAACCGCAGTGATTTGCTTTGCGGCAAAAAGCTTATAAAACTGGGTCAGGCCACATCTCACTTAAAACTGCATTGCTTAACAACAAATTTTCCAGCTCCAGTTATGGTCATAAGTTGAAGACTATCAGTAGGTCTAGTGACTAAGAGGTAAGATTAGAGGCAGAGGATCGGAGTTCTTGTCCTGCCTTAGATACAATAAACAAATGACTTTGAGGCAATTACTCTCAGCCCTAGAAAGGCACTAGCAAAATATTTCAGAAACTTCCCCAAAAATTGCAATCAAGATTGAGTTGAAAGTCCCAAATATCTTTTGTTTACACTGACAGTATCTTACCTATTTTCTTCTCCATATCTTCAAGTTAGTCTTGACTCCTGACAAGTGCCTGGACAAAGTCCTTTGCTGTCTTGACATTTTTAAAAGTAGTTTGCCATTATCTTCCTAGGAGTAAGAGAGAGTTAAGCTGGCCCAAATTGCCCAGCTGACTTCGTGCCTAAGGTGGAACTGGAACTCAAAAGTCCTCTGTTTTTTATTCTGGTGCTTTAACCACCACACCAAACTGTCTGTCTTAACTATGAATGTAACTCCACATTGTTGGTTTCTTGTTACGGAGGTGACTTAGCTTTTAATCTTATTGGTATCTATCATGCTCGAGTGCTTTTTCAGAAGTTACTGGTTTGTTTAAAGCATGTATAGTTAACATATTCATGATTACAAATAAAAAAGAGAAATAACTTCATCTCAAAGTAACTAAAATTAATTTTTGATATTTTAACTTTTTTTAAATTAAAAAAAGTTCATTTCATTCCTGATATGCAGGTAATATGTAATGTAACACCTTTAGAGGTAAAAATGGAACTAGAAGTACTGGAATCAAAGTGTTCAATTGAAAGCTGTTACTGAAGTAATTTGAATTTGTAATATTTATGTAAAAAGTAATGTGAATTACCTCTGTTAAGTATTACTGTATTTTAAAAACGTAAAGCAAATGTTCATTTTCTGTATAAATGAAAAGTGTTGGATTTGTGAGTATATGTGCTTTAAAGAAATATAAAAGTCTTAATAGATATTTTTTGCACAAATTTATTGCTAGCAAATAAGGGGAACTTGGTCAACTTCTCATTTTTTTATAGCTGGCTGTACAGTCTTAATATTTGCTTGCAATATTTGATTTTTTTAAATTTTATTTTTATAATTGTTCCCTTGAGACTATAGATTTGTGTGGCTTTTGTAATTTTAAATACATTTAACGTGATATAAAGGAATATCTTTTTAAAGCTTTTTAAAATTTAACACTTTTTAAAATTGCCCTGCATGTACCTGTTGATAAAACAAAAATAAGATATCCAATATCTCTGCTTAGTTTACAGATGTATAATTTTTCTGTGAAACAGGAGCAAACCATTAATTTTTAGCTTTAAGAATACAATGCTCCTCAGTTTGAGAGAGTAAATATTTACTAGCAAATAATACAATAACCAACCATCTGGTAAAAATGTAATACTTGCATTCTGCTCCATATCATATTGTTTCACTTCTGAACTGCAATTGATTTATATTTCTGTAAAAGCAGATGACATGTCCAATTCTATCAAATGAATACTTGTTACATCTTTATGCATTTAAATAAGCCAGTTTTCATTTCACTATGCTAAGTTTACCAAGACTCCAAATTTTTAATGGATAGGGGTGGACATTCTGACAATATGAAAGATTCTAAATAACATTACCAGATGTATTTAATAAATATGTAAATATAGGTAAATCATGACATATGGATTGTTTTACTTGAATTCACATGTGATAATTTTCTTATTCAGAGTGTGGCTATGAATCGCCCATTTCTTTAAGACTCTTGTCCCTTCCGACGAATACTATTAGACCCAAAAGTAAAGCAAGTAGTGGTGCATTCAGTTATATTCATACTACTTATAACTCTCTTACAGAGTAAGTTGTACTTACGCACTATAGTAAGTTGACTTTCTCAACTAATAAAATTGAGAACCTAGTATATTGGGCCACATTCCTATTTGCTTGTCTTGAATTTGAAAAGAAAAATCATTCTAAATACTCAGTTTCTCAGTGAAGAAAATAATTGTATTGCTATTATCTCTGTACTTTGTAAATGCAGACCAGAGTTCACATTTGAACTCTGAAGTAATTAAAGGTTTTCTTATTTCTTTATTAGCTGACGGAAGAACAATTTTAGAACATTAACTTAGGACAAAGAATTCAAGTTATGATATTAATATGTTTGATTCATTCCTTTTTTATTGCTTGGCTATAGTCAATTCTTGTGGAGGAATTGACACATATATAGGTTGAACAGCAATACTGAATTTACTTTAAATATAACCCCCTCTCAAATTTCTCAAAGAAAATAAACCCAAATTCAATCTCATTAGAACTTCACCCTACCTCCACCAATGCTTCAGATCTTGTGCTCAGCACAACAAATTTATAAGCTCAATGGAATTAATTCAATGTTTAAAGAAAGCCCCTTGTCCCAGCCTGACAAAAATAGGGTGAATCCATTTACTCTAGAATATAAATGTAATAAATATTCAGTTTATACATTATTGAGAGTAGAGCACAAAACCAATCAAAAGAAAAACATTTAAATTATGAAAATTAACAGGAATGTCTGCAGACTTTCTTTTCAATCTACTTTTAGAACATGAAACGTCAAAAGGGCAAATCCAAAGTATAATGGGGATCAGGACCACATTAGACAGAGTAAAATTTATTCAAATGGTTGGTGTGTTTATATATCATAAGGATCATAAAATATCATCCGCACAGTCCAAGCACACATTGCTTCTGAAGGCACAAAGCTGAACACGAAGTACTTTAAAACTTCAAACATGGCAAATGCATATTGAGAAGAATATATGCAACTTCTTTACATAAAATCAGTTAAAACAACCCTCAGAATTGATCAGGTTACATTTTCTCATTTTATGCTAAGAGTTCATCATACATTATTGTTACAGAGATATTTGTCTCGTCCACTTGGATGGCGATAAGAGTCGATTGCTGAAAATAGACAACTGCAAACTTAATTGAAAGTGTTGTGACACTTCAATTAGTTATATTTGCCGTAAGGCAGAATTTGTACATTGAAGAATAATGTGAAACATGACAGGTCATCATAGAGCAAGTTCACCATATCTAATTGCTCAGCAAAACTATGTCAACAATTCAAATATAGAAAGAGCAGTTGTTTTTGAGATTTCTGATGTAACAGTTTTCCAGTGTTCTTTATTTTTGGTTGTGAAGCAAAAGCAGCTAAAGGAGCTGGTTTTTCTTGAAGGCAGTCTGGTTGTCTGCAGTATAAAGAAAATAAAAATTAGATCAATCAGTGAAAAAAACTGTACCCAATATAATCCTGTGCATCAGACTTCTAGTATCATCATCAGCATCATCAGTTCCCTGATAACCTAAAAGTAGAACATAACTTATTCTGTTGTTCCTTCCCAATGGATTATTCATAGATGTTTTTTGCCTCTAGTCATATATCTGTTCCAGTTGTTAGTCATCAAAACTCCATATTTCATGAATGTTGATCCAGTTTTAAAACTATTTTAATAGCCACTGACACATCAGGTGGAAACATGAATTATAAACTAATTCATCATTTTGTCTTAGATTTTTCAAGTATTGTATAATGCACAGGTGTCAAACTCACGGTGTCACATTGCCATCACATGATGTATTGCGATGTTTTTCACTTCGCAGAGTTGGTGGGCATGGCCTGCATGTGACACATACTGGTATAATGCTATGGAGCCATAAGACATAACCACAGCCATCCAGTATTTTTTCTTTTGTGGCATAAAGTGATTTACATTTTTACTTGGTCTGACTTGATTGCAACATGTAAAAAACAACCCTACCGATTAAGATATAAATGGCATTACATTTAATTGCAAAAAGTTCTATCCTCTCATTTTCTGAATTAGTCCAACATTCTCAATCACTAACCCCAAAATGGAATGATAAATGTTTAGTAAATGAAGTAAGACCATTTATTTGATCAGTGAAGTTAGAAATCTTGCTCCAAAGGTACAAGCCATAATTCTGGATTTTAAAAACTAGTCATTAATCCAGTATAGATAAGAAGTTGCATAAACTTGCTTTTGAACCATTTAAAATAGATCTTTTCAAATCAGGGTGGATAAAAATCAATGATTTTTTTTTAAAAAATCAGATTTTTTTGATTTAAATTGGATTTTTTTTTATTTAAATCAGATTTTTTTTTATTTTTATCGAATTTATTTTAATAAAAAACTTTTGGGGTAAAAATCTATCGTAAGATAGTTTTCTATTTAAGATACATAAATAATTTAGTTTATTCAGCATGAAATGGAGCTTAGTTATGTAGCATGAGGCTGTATATTCTGCAACACTGGGACTATCGGTGAGTCAACAGTGGGTCAAAGGAGTAGCAGAGATGACAGTTGCTCTTTAAAAAGTATGATTTAAATCGAGTTGATTTAAATCAAGCCTTTTTACTAGTGATTTAAATCATGATTTAAATTGTGATTTAAATCAAGTCTATTTAAATCAAATCCACCCTGTTTCAAATACATACAAAAAAATCCCTGTTTTGAAAACTTGGTACAGTTGTTAAAAAGTTTTAAATATACCACTTCCTTAGAATTAGACATATTTATCTCCCAGGTATACTTACAGTGTTTACTATTGCTTGTTGCTACACTATGTCCTGAAATGCACAACTATAATATTTGGAGATCAAACTTTCATAATAAATCACTCGTCCATTCTTTGCCTCAGCAATTTTAGATGCTATCTAAGACTTCCTAGTAGATGTAAATTCAGGCAGCTGCAATTCTAAATTTTTGCTTCCCCACCAAACTACACATTTTCTTTATATTATTTATATCCCACCTTTATTATTTTTTTACAAATAACTCAAGGTGCAGAATATATCTAAATACTGCATTTTTTGGTGTATAAGACACACTTTTCCTACCCAAAAAAGTGGGTGGAAATGTCTGTGTGTCTTATACAGCATATATTGAAGCTCCACCCACCCGCTGGCTCCTACCCGCTGGCCTTTGCCTTTCAGCAATTTGCCTCCTTGCATTAAACAGCAAACAGCCTGGTCAGCTTCAGCACAGCCTGATTTAGCATGAGCAGCTGATTGGCGGTTGGATCTGCCTCCCGGAATACCATCTATCAGCTCTTCCAGGCTGCGGGAATTGCTGCCGCACATTGCCACTGCCGCCTATGGCCACCACTGCGCACCCCATTTTCAGCTTCCGTGCGTCCCATTTTTGGCCTCTGCACACCCCATTTTTGGCCTGTTCCCTAACACAAGACAATCAAGCAAAAAACAATCAAGAAATCACCAAGACACTGATCACACTGTGATCACACTGATCACAGTGAACATCACACAGACACTGATATTACCTATTCATGTAAAGAAACATACAAATAAACACACTTACATAGCACCAAGAACTCCACAGTTCAACCCTGAACTACAGAAACAGGACTAGCTATTTAGTAGCAAAATGATACTTAAGAATTAAATTGCTTCTTAGCAGGAAGGAAAAGGAAACTGGATCCTGGAGTTGAAGGATAACATTTTATCTTTTAACCCCAGAAAGCATCTGTATCAAAGGAAAGGGAACTACCTGCTCCAGCTGAGGAAAAGGGAATTACAATCAGGTTCGTACATATTGGTACAATGACAAGACCCGCAAACAAGCAATAGATAAAAGCAGCTGTAATAAAGGTGTGGCAAAGCATTTCAAATGAGGAAACAATGGTTATGTCATGGGATCCAGACTTCAGGCAGTCTCACTGACTGCAAAAGATTTTAATCTAAGCATTAAAAACAATGCTTATACATGTAATTATGTTAGTTTGTTCCATCTTTAATGGGCCACCAAAACTGGGGATGGGTGTATTAAAATGGCTGTAATTCCTCAATGTTAATGCCATACTTTTTGTCAAACCTCTTGAATGAAAGCTGACCATTTTCACTTTACTCACATCTTGACTCTTTCGTTTCAAATTAAATGGTGGTATACAATTACCATTGTCCCAATTACCATTGTATGTGTATAGATAGATAGATAGATAGATAGATAGATAGATAGATAGATAGATAGTTTGGTCGTTTTCCTATTAAAACATTACAATTCCAGAATTTCTCATCTACCACACTAAAATGTTTCGCCAGTTCAAGACTTATTAGGCTTCTTCAATTTAACATCAATTATTTTAATTAGAGAATAAGACGTGATTTCTGTTTTGTTCAATGATCTCCCACAAAGCAAGAAACTTTTGCTTTTATCTCAAAGGACCCATCGGATTATCTCAAAGATGCTTTTTCAAGAGGCAACTTGACTTTCTGGTTTTTCTTTAAAGATGTTTCGCTTCTCATCCAAGAAGCTTGTTCAGCACTGGCTGGATGATGGGGAATGGAAGGATTTATATTTTTTTGCTGACAGCTGGTCATTTGCATTCTTTTAGAGCAGGAGCGTCAAACTTGCGTTGTCATGTGAAGTATCGAGACTTTCCCCCTCTTTGCTAAACCGGCCTTGGCCAGTGCATGATGCATGAGTTTAACAGCCCTGTTTTAGAGAGTGGCTGAGGGCACTTGGAGGTTTGTCTGTGTCCTCAGGGTCACCTGAGCAATGGGTGTGGAGCCTTCTTGGAATTGCTGAAAGGACTGTGTTGTGGAGCTGTGCCTTTTCTGCCCTGTGTCCCTTCACTATTGAACACAGGCGCAGGTAGTTCCATTCAGGCAGAGCTGAAGAAGCTTCTTGAATGAGAAGCGAAACGACTTCAAAGAAAAACCAGGAAGTTTAATTGCTTCTTGAAAAAGCACCTTTGGGACAACCATGACCTGGATGACTGAGAATCTCCATAGACATCCGTCTGGGATTTACATTATTGCCGGGCCAAAGGAAATGGCCTAATGCAGGGCTGGGCCACTGTGGCCCTTCTACAACCTGTGGACTTCAACTCCCAGAATTCCTGAGACAGCTTGGCTGTCTCAGGAATTCTGGGAGTTGAAGTCCACAGGTTGTAAGAGGGCCACAGTTGCCCACCCCTGGCCTAATGCGATCCTGGAAGCAGAGGTTTCACCGAGTCTCGGTACAGCTTGTGGGTCGTACCTCACATCCCAAAAGATAAAACCACACACCACAAGCCCCAACCGCCGGCTTCACACTATTTACGACATTCAAAAGTGGTCAAACGGAATCCTGCTGATTTCTCTTCAAATCTGGAACTCTCGCTCTTGGGACCCGTTATCACTCCGTCATCCCCCGTGCCAAGCGGTCTCCTTCGTCTCCCTGAGCCGCCGCCCTTTCCCACTCACCCCTCGCTACAGCCGCTTCAAGGTAGCAGATAAACGAAGACGAAGAGCACGAAGTCGAAGAGGATCATCAGCCAGAAGTCCAGCCAGTAGGACGTCCCGGAGAGAGGGGGCCCGCAGGAGATGTTCCCCGTCGTTCCGGTCACCTCGGCTGCCAGCCGGTCCGGTTCATGGTCAGTCTTTCGGCGGTCTCGTACCTCAACGCCTTCCGCAGCCTCCATTGTCCCCCACACGGAAAGGATTTCTTCCGCGAACGGCGCCCGGCGTACATAAGACAGTTACTACCATAGAGACACACACACAAAAAAAAGGAGAGGCACAATAGCGATGTTTCCGGTAGAGACTTCCGGTGAGGTGAGGCCCTTATTATGTCTGTTCAGAAGCCTACGGTTGATCCACTGCGAACGTGAACTCTGTACGGCACAGAAATTGTGGTTGGGATGGTAGAAACCTGGGCTTGGATGCCCGTGGCGGTGCGTAGAGATAATAAGGAGTTTACATTCCTTGCAAAGATGTGTTGTTTTCATTTAGGCTCAAACAGAAGCAATCGTTTTTCTCGCAATAGAGCACGGATCGCCAATCTTGGCAACTTTAAGGCTTGTGGACTTCAGCTCCCAGAATTCCTCAGCCAGCAAAGCTAAGCAAAGCTGGCTGACGAATTCTGGGAGTTGAAGTCCATAAGTCTTAAAAGTTGCCAAGATTGGAGACCCCTGCAATAGAGGTTAATTTAGTGGGTTGTTTTTTGTTTTTTTTTTAAATTGGCAACTTTTAAGGTGTGTGGAATTAGCAGAGTTGTCTAGTCAGAGCATCTACCATCTGCTGACCTATTGATACCAAGGCTCCCAACTAAGGGATGACCTCACCCAGTGGTTTCAAAGGGATGGCAAAGGAAAAGGGAGGTTGAGCTCTGAGGCAGGTCCAAGTGAGGAACAGAGGAACTGCTCTGTCAACAGAAATGGAAGCAAGCCACAGAGGAAAGCATCAGTTTGGTGTAAGTGGTTAAGGTGCTGGCCTAAAAACAAGGACACTAAGTTCCAGTCCCTCCTTAGTCATGAATGTTGCTTGTCTGCTTTTGAATCACTCACTGTTGGGTCTCTATTCTCCAAAACATCTGAAGGCAGGACAAATAGTGGAATGGTTTATGACCAGAACTCATGGGTGTTCCATCACTGGAGATTTTTAAGAAGAGATTGGACACTCATTTGTCTGGAATGGGATAGGTCTCCTGGTTGAGGAGGGATTAGAAGACTTCCAAGTTCTTCAACTCATATTCTGTACTCCCATTTTCAGCCCACCCCACTTCAGAGGGTTACTGTGGGAGAGGAAGGAGTATTATGTATATTCACAGCCTTGAGTTTCTTATAAAATAGTAAAGGCAGAATAAAAATCTAATGAATAAATAAACCATAGTATAGCACCTCCTACCAAACTTTGCAGTTAGTTCAGAAGGATAATTTGATTGGTGTATCAAAAACTCAAAGAGCTTTGACCTTTATGAGAGGTCAAGAAGCACAAAAATGGGTACACTACCATTATCCTAGTTCCAGATAAAGTCGTCAACCAGTGGAGCCAGTGCTATTTCTATACTGTCATCCTGGCCTGAAACCTGATTGACACTGTTTTAGTTTAAACAAAATACATGTTTTAATTAATATATTTAAAATATACATAATCGATGCACACTTTTTAGTAAGTGTGCATTTAGTAATGCACACTTTTAAGTTTTTTTTTTGTTGTTGTTGTTGTTTTTTTAATTTGATTTATATGCTGCCCTTCTCCGAAGACTCAGGGCGGCTTACAATGTGCTCAGCAATAGCCTTCATCCTTTTTGTATATTTATACAAAGTCAGCTTATTGCCCCCACAAACTGGGTCCTCATTTCACCTACCTTAGAAAGGATGGAAGGCTGAGTCAACCTTGAGCCTTGGCGAGATTCGAACCCTGCAGTAATTGCAGGCAGCTGGTCTTAATAAGCTTAATAACAGGGTGCCTTAAACCCCTGTACTACCAAGGCTGAAAAGTGATCACCACAGTTGTTAAGTTAGTAACATGGTGGTTAAGTTAATCTGGCTTCTCTATTGACCTTGCATGTCAGAAGTTCACAAAAGGTAATCACATAACCCCTGGTTGCTACAACTGTCGTAAATAAAGTCAAGCATCCAAATTTTGATCACACAACCATGCAACGGTTGTTAAGTGTGAAAAATGGTCATAAGTCAATGTTTTCAATGCTCTAATTTTGAACAGTCACCAATGAATTGAGGACTACTTGTAATCCTATAGAAGTTCTAACTATGTGATCATTAAAAGTTGACACTAATTTAACAGCAAATAATCATCTTGAAAGAGAAGGCCCCAGCTAAAATTCTCCATCTTTTCTAGTCATTTGTATTAGGATTTCATTGGCAAATACTGAAAATCACACGACATTGAATCTCTATTGTGGTCTAATGTGGATATTATTTGTTAAATGATATGGGGGCAATAGGCTTGATTATATACTGGTGAGTTAGATCTGTGTATTAATAGATGGTCCAGTAAAATGGTTTTGTTTTTGTTTTTTTGTTTTGTTTTTTAAAAAGGGAAATTGGTCAACTATTGGAGCCCAGGAATTTTTCATAGTTCACAGACACATTAATAAGTATCATTTTTAAAAGCACTTCATGAGCAGTAACTGAAAGAAATTGATTGCATATAGTTCCTTAAAAATTGAGATCATTAATGTGAATATTGTCTTTTTTGAAGGAGTATTTAGACCATGATTATCTGAGTGGAATCTGAATTAGTTTGTCTGGGCTTGTTCTTCATTTTAAAGCCAGATTAATTTTAAGACAGATGAGGTAGAGTTTCTTACAGTTGTATTTTAATATGTACTGTAATTTTTAAATTTGGACTTCTTGAACCAAGAATTTCTTCCTAAGTAGAAATTTGTGTTTTTCTTAGTTTTTCAATACCAAATCAAGGTGAAAAAAGACTACTGGACAGAATTTTGTTGTTGTTGTTAGTTGTGAAGTCGTCCACTCTAATGGACATAAATTAGGATACATTATATTAGGTGACATTTTGATGAGAATGTGTGTACAAAATTTGTTCTTTCCAAATCTACATAAAAATAGTGAGAGGAATCACAAAAATAAAAACTAATGAGGAAATGTGGCAAATTAAAAAGGTTAGAACTAGGTAAATTTGAAAAAAAACATTTGTATGGTATTTGGATCGGACTAGATAGTTCTTAAAAGTGTTTTATTTTATAAAGGATTGATAATTTATTTTAAATATTGAGTTAAATAAGCGATTATTCACAACAACAATGAAAGACAATGTCTTATAGAATATGGAATAGAAATAAGGTTTATTTTTTCCCATTTATAAAAAGTAAATTTTATATTCATACTCAGCGATACCATTTAGCTAAATTGTTATGGTACATAAAAGATAAATACATCTTAAATGAATATTAGTACTTAGCTACTTTGTATTTGGGTAAGAAAATGTAAAGAAAACACAAGTGATCTTCTGATGGTTTTCAGTCTTCACCAATAGTTGTTTATGCTTTCTTGAAGAATCTTTTGGCTATTACTCCTTCGTAGGTGTAAGTCTGAAAAGATTTTATTTTTAAAATAAGTAAAACAGGTCAGAATATCAGCAATATTTTTCTGGATTTACAGTGCTTATATTCCCAAACTATAGAATAGTTTCATTCTATATTCCAGAAACCAGCCCTTTTTAAGGCCACAGAAATAGGCTAAAATCAATATTTATTGTTAAATAATGACCCATAAATAGATGACACATAGTCCTGTTTGAACAGTTTTGATTAATCCTAGTATTTACTCAACAATATAGCAGTTGATGTATCCAGAAAGAGAAATGCTCCTGGAATTATTAACTAAATTGTGTCAGAAGTTAAGAAGTTCATTCCCAAAATGAGCTACAATAAAATCCAAGAAGCACTTATGGTTGGATCAGGAAATTGTTTATTGTGGTAGGGCCCATATTAGCAAGCAGGCAGAGATGAGACTATTGGAAAAAGCAAACCTAGACAAAATTGGATTGTGGAATGGAATCCTGGAAGGAGCATTAGATGTGGCCAGGATTCATGACAAGGCTACACTTATGATTAATATATTGTCAGACATTTTAAAATTGGTTTTCAATTTTAGAAGAGGTTGTTATTTCAGGTTGTAATCTGATTTTTTTCCCTTTTGCTTCAGCTCCATAACTGGCTTCTCAACTATTTCTTTTCTTACAACTGTAAGTAAATATTTAATAAAGTTTTTGTTCTTTTGTTAAAACGTCTCAGTTCCTTGTTAAGATAATATGAGTTTCTATTGTTGTTGATTACTGTATATAAAAAATACCAATGATACACTTACCTGAATCATTTCGTCTCCTACAAGTTCTCGGAGTGCGTCAAGTTTCTTTCCATTATCCTTTCGGTTGAATGAGCCTATTAGTTGGTTTCCTTTCAGGTCCCAGGCCCCCTACAGTACACAGCATGCATATAAGGAAGGAGCGGAAAGAGAGAGGAAGGAAGATTTTTAGATGTTGAACATATTAGTAACTGGTTATAACAAAAGTGTGTGTGTTTTGGAATCCTTTGTCTCTCAACCATTTTGTCACCTAACCCAGGAGATCAGAAACTAACTCCTGTGAGAAAAGATTGATGAAACCAGGAATATTTATCCATGAGAACAGTAATTGAGGTGGGCTATGGTAGCCCACATCAACAGCAAAACACTATAATATTAAGAAGAAGAAAAAGTTTTCTTACATTGAGTTCAGTTCCATCAGCTAAACTGTAGTCAAAATTCACTCCCAAAGTGAACACTATCTCTATGCTGCGGAAATTGCTGTTTTCTTGAACGGTGAATTTGTTTCCGTCTTGTTTGATTGTGAGCTTCAGGTTGTCATGGGCTCCAAGCTTCCTCTTCACTAAATTAATACCTATGAAGGTTAAAAGAGTGTGGGTCAGTTGCACAGCAGACTGATACTTTTTAAATACTTATTTTAAATAAATTGTCTAAATGGAGTAGGCTAGAATAGGACAATTTGAGTCTGTCCTCTGTAATTCATGTTTGTCTAGGTTTTGGTTTTAAAGGCTAATACAACCAGTTTACAAGGATCTGCTCATGGTTTCTTAGGGATTTTAATCCATGTGGAATTATACATGATGTATATCTTGGACTACTAATGTGGCATCCCTTCTCTTTTCCATATCTGCCAGTAGCTGAGTTCACAAACCCCAAATCAAGCAAAATATGGGTGATGAATAAGCACATAAACCCAACCCCCACTTAACAATAGGCAAATCCTTTTTTTTTTAATGCAATCTGAAGAGAAGCCAAAATATTGTCAAAGGTCAAATTGCTTAGATCAGCTAAATATACATGATCTGATACTTCTGAACTGGAAAATAATGTTATTACAAAAAAGGAGAAGAGGAAGCTCTGGATGCAGTATTAAGTAAAATTACATCAAGTTATACAGCATTTAGTTTACTTTTGTAATAAAAAAGCCTAAAGAAAGTACCAAGGGAAAATTAGACATCAGTGCAACCACATAGAACACAAGTACTGATTATTAACAATAGAAAACCAATCATTCTAGAGTCAAATAACTAATGGGAAGTAGCACATATGAAAACAATAAATTCCATTGAAAAAGGAAGTATAGACCTAGAGGAGAATCTGGGAAACAATATATATCATGTTTGAGACCATAATAATGAGAATTACAAATAGAGGATGAAATAAAAAATCTTGCTGGAAGACTTACGACTCTCATCTCGGTCTGCTGCATACAATCTTGCCTAGATTCCAGAACAGAATCTACCCAGACTGGTTGTGAGATGGTATGTGAGCAGGAATTGGTAATTGAAACTTGCTAAAGAAACTAATGTTTTCATTGTTTGATTTTTGTGTTCATGGTCTACAGTTGCCAGGATCCTAAATCTTTTGACACCGAACCCTGGGTGCAGTTGATGTTTAAGAAATTATTAGATTTCTTAATATTAGCTTTTGTAGAACGCAAAGCCACTTAGGTTAGATTCTGAGAGTCTCAGTCTTAGGAAGCCAGAAAGTTTATGAGAGTCTCAGAAAGCTAGTTTTTGAGAAAAGGGAAGTCAGCAATGACTTTTTACCTATAACAGCAGAATGACAGTATAAATTAAATATGGAAAAAAAGAGAGAAAACAAAGCCTTGTAGAGTGGATGTGTACAAGAAAGTAGGGATTGGAATTGTATATATTTGGAAGCAGGAAAGTCAAGTTTCTAAGATTTGAAGAGCCAACATGGAAAAAAAAGGGGATGCCTTGTGGACTTTGGTTTAAGTCTTTCCTTAGGCATGAAGAAAAAAAATCATTTGTCAACGTTTCTGTTTGTCACAGAAAGAAATGTACAAACCTGAAAGTATGTAGGTTTACCAGTAAATCTTTGAGGGAAGGATAATTTTAAAGAATTAAAAAACTGGAATGAAAGTCCAGGGATTAATAAAGAAGAATGCCAGGGATTAGTAGCAAGCATTTTGAATTGCATCAGCAATCTGTTTTTTCTTAAGCAAGGAAATGCAGATCTTACCCATTACTTCCATGAACTTTTCATAGTTTTCACTCTTCTCTATTTTCCAGGTGCCATCAAATGCCATGGTTGTTAGCTATTATGAGGAAATGTAGAACTAAAAGAAGGTTTCCTATCCAATCTAGAGTAAAGCTTTCTGAAGGGGTAATTTATATCTTCATTTATCTTGAAAGCAATTCATACACTGATGTGGCTGACTAAAGTACAATTAGTCAGGTGATCCAATAAGATTAAATTACTACAACGTATTCAATTCATTATAATTAGAATAAATATTATATTTAATTCTATCTCTTAAAAATATTGCCTGTATTGTTCAGTAAAGTTGTGATTACTAAATTCTCTTTTTCCCTTTGAATAGGATAGACGACAGAAAAAAAAAAGCTTAGATCATTACTGGTAAGGAGAAAGAATGAAAATGAAAATGGTTTTCTGTTTAAATGAAGCAACACTTATTTTAAATAGCAAGCCTACTGTACTGTAACATTTTTGTCATGCTTCCTTTTATTTCTTATATCTGCTCAAGCAAGGACAAGAACTTTTCATTCCCCTTTAAATATGTGTTCTCTTTGGAAGCTGTTCCACTGAGTAAGGTAAAGATATAAATAATGGGTGACAGGTTATTTACTCTGGGAACAATTTATTATAGTTTCCTTTAACCCTAATCATGTGAGGCTTACTTTTTCTGTTCTGAAATGTAGGAAATAGATCTGAGGCAGAATGTGATTTTAATATAGCCAATAGAATAGAATAGAATAGAATTCTTTATTGGCCAAGTGTGATTGGACACAAAAGGAATTTGTCTTTGGTGCATATGCTCCCAGTGTACATAAAAAGACAAGATACATTCGTCAAGAATCATAAGGTACAACACTTAATGATAGTCATAGGATACAAATAAGCAATCAAATCCTACTAGGAAACAATCAATATAAATATAAATCGTAACAATACAAGCACAAAGTTACAGTCATGCAGTCATAAGTGGGAGGAGTTGGGTGATAGGAATGATGAGAAGACTAATAGTAATAATAATGCAGCCTTAGTGAATAGTTTGACAGTGTTGAGGGAATTATTGGTTTAGCAGAGTGATGGCGTTCGGGGAAAAACTGTTCTTGTGTCTAGTTGTAATGCACTCTTTCCACAAACATATGTGTTCATAAACCCCTCTCACCTCTCTCCTACCTTAATAGAAGACTGATTTCACAATAACTACATAATCCTATTTTATAGATGTCCTATCTAATATTTTAATTAAACAGCAGTGGAATATCTGAGAATCATGTTTGAAGAATCATACTTCAAGAATTTTAGGGGTTAAAAATCTAAGAAATGCAAACAACCATATCTATGCAGATCAGGGGTGTCAAACTGGTGGCCCACAGGCCGGATACGTCACGTGCAGGCTGTGCCCATTCCAACTCCGCAAATGGGGGAAACGTCACAAAACGGCAGTGTGAGGCCACAAGTTTGACACCTGTGATGTAGATAGTTGGAGAAGAGTAGGAACAAAGGCTCTAATTCCTCTTAATTTCCTGTTACTGCTGCAAATTTAACATTACTCCACAAATCTAAAATGAAGTCTGATGACTATATTTGGGCTACATAAATTTATGGCCCTGGGCTGTTCAGATGTCTGTTCAAATTGCCTGACTGGACTTAGGTACTTTTCAGTTATAATTCACAACCTATATTATCACAGATAAGATAACGTCTTCACTATGTAGCAATCAACTATGTCAGATAAACAGTTTGGGGATCATGATAAAATGATGGGCCTTTTTCTGCAAAGTCTCTTGATACAGCTAATGTCATGGCCAGAACTGTCAATGCCACCCCTAGAGAGAATATGAATAATTCGTGATGATTTTGCAATTGTGCATTATATCAGCAGATAATTTTATGACTGGTTCAAACAAACAAAATTTCTTCCATTTACTTGGAAGTGTTCTAGAGAACTAAGAAAGTCTCCTGGAGAATAATATGCAGGCAATAGAATGAAAGGGAAGCAATAATTCAATTTTAGCCTGTTTAAGATTTGTGGACCAACTCCCAGAATTCCTCAGCCAGCATGCTTTAACTCTTCAAATCTTCAAATTGTTAAATTTAAAGATCTTTAAATTCTTGAAATGATTTAGAATGTGGGTAAAATAGATGGTAGTAGCAAACCATGTCCTGTAGTAAATGTAGACTTCATTTAGTAACCATAATTGGGGCTAGCAACTCAGTCATTAAACAAAGACTGTGCTTACAATCTTACTTCCTCTTTTCTTCCTCAAAATCCTTGATTTGGGTAGCTATTGCATATCATCGACATAGCAAAATTTTTCAGAGTTGGTTTCTGGTAAATCACTAGAATATAGATTAAATAGGAGTGGGACTAGAACTGATCCCTGTGGCAAGCCATTCTTAATGGAAAAGAATTTACCAGTGGTACCTCCTACAGTGATCTTAAAGTATCAGTATTTTAACATGTTTTTCCAGAAGGCTTGTTATTTTAAGACACAGAATATTTTCTTCAGCTTGAGCATCAAACCATCAAGCTACAACAGATCATATGCTGCTTTGTTCACTTTATCTTCTATGAAGTGAACAAAGACGTTGATTTGTCTCCATTTAAAGAAGGCATCCCTGAGGGCTGCAGCACATCCACTTGTTGAGAATTGTTGTGATATAACAATGCAAATTCCATTCCTGACAAGCACAGGAGTAAAAATCCTCATGAAATTCTCTCCATTTTCTGTGTCTGAAGCAAAGAGACCAATCAGGGTCAAATCAACAAAAGCCAAAGAAGTGTTCAGTCCTTTTTGGAAACCAGCTTTGATAAATGAAGTAAGAGCTAGAACTTGCTTTGCAGCAGCTTCTCTGGCAACCAGGCAGAACCCAGCCAGGAAAGAAGGGACAGTCCTATCAACATGATATATTTTGATATAAATAATCATTCCAGAAGTTTATAGCAAATGTTCAAGAGAGCTATAGGGCAGTAGTTTGCTAGATCATTATGTGGGTTTTTTTCAGGTTTTAGGATGGCAAGGGTTTGGGATATCTTGAACTGACTGGGGATTTTTCCATTGTTCAAAACATCTATATAAAATTGTTGTAGCCATCTTAATCAGAAAAGAGCTGGAAGGGGCCTTGGAGGTCTTCTAGTCCAACCCCATTCTCAAGCAGGAGATCCTATACTATTTCAGATAGGTTTTCTTAAAAGTGATGAAGCATCTACAACTTCTGAAGGCAAGCTGTTCCACTGGTTAATTGTCCTCACTATTAGGAAGTTTCTCCTTAACTCCAGGTTGCTTCTCTCCTTGATTAGTTTCGATCCATTGTTTCTTGTCTTGCTGGTGCTTTGGAAAATAAGTTGAACCCCTCTCTTTGTGGTAGCCACTCAAATACTGGAATACTGCTATCATGTCACCCCTAATCCTTCTTTTCACTAGACTGGCCATACCCAATTTCTGCAACCAATCTTCATGTTTTTGTCTCCAGGCCCTTAATCATCTTAGTTACTCTTCTTTGCACTTTTTCCAAAGTCTCAACATCTTTTTTGTAATGTGGTGACCAAAACTGGATGCAGTATTCCAGTTGTAGTCTTACTAAGGATTTATAAAACGGTCTTACTAAGGATTTCTTTTCTAGTATATGGTATTAAATATTTAATAAACTCTAGTAACATACCATCAAGCCCAGTGGCTTTCCTTATTTTGAGACTTTTTATAGCTCTTTCCAACTCATTTTCTGTGAACAGCAACGAAAGAAGTGAATTTTCTATACAGTAATCCTCAAATTATGACAGTTTACTTAGCGACCATTTGAAGTTATGACATAACAGCCCCCCCCCCCAAGTACTTATGACACAGTCCCAAAGTTACAAATGTTGCAGCACCACAGCAGTTGTTCATACAAACGACCATAGAGGCACTGCAACATTCGCCCTACCTATTCCCCCCTGGCTGGGTCTCCATAGGCACTGGGCCTTTGGAGACTCACCTTGTGACAGTCTAGCGAGTCATTGGTTCCTTTGCCTCCTTTGAGATCTCGTGCTACTGATCTTGCGTGATCTCGCACTACAGTACTTTAGGCCTCTATTCTCTATAAATGGAGGCCTGTAAAAGATCCATAGCAAAAGGCTTTGCAAACAGAGGGAAGGCCTCTACGTTTGGAAAGCCTTTTGCTGCAGATCTCGTACAGGCCTCAGTTCACAGACAACAGAAGCTTAAAGTACTGTAGTTCGAGATCATGGCCGAACAACTTTTCCAAGCCAACGAGAGTCACAAGTTAGGGGTAGTTTTTTTGTACTGAAGGAGGACTCCACCATATCTTGGAGTCAACATCTTTAGTGTATTGTTCCCAGTTTGCGTTCTTGAAGTTCCACCTCGGTATCTGGGTTGATCTTATGAGAGATAATTGTAGTCCTAGAGTAGGTATGACTGGTCTGTATTGGGTATTCAGGAATCCCAGGAGGACTTTCCTTGTATAGTGGAGTGGGATTTTTAAGTTGCCTATGGTAAGATCTGTCTTTGTTTCATTTTGCCACCTTGCAAAACAGAAGGTTTTCAAATATTTAGCATCATAAGCTAAGTGAAGCTCATTCTGCTCTATTCAGTTTGCTAAAATTCCCCGATTCTTATTATTGTTGTTTATCCCCAATCAGTATGATCACTATTGAAATTATCTATATATGCTTCAGGATTGGCCGTGGTGGGTTAGTCCGCTTAATGCTGGGAGGTTTGTAAATCAGGACAACTGGAATCTATCAGTGCTGCTTGATTATTGTTGACATTGCAGCTAGATGCATCAAACACTGAATAAAATGAAAATCATATGCAAAAAAGTGTTAGCTCTTGGAATTCTTGCAGGATGTCAGAAACATTATGCAATTAAATACATTATGATCATTAAAAGTTTATTTCATGTTTCTCAAGATTCCTATGTGATACAGTCATTCTGAAATTATATTTGTGGTCAGTTTAAAAGGGTCTGTCATAATCACCAAAAGTTTTCCAGGCAGCAAAACTTTTGAAAAAAAAATTGTCCAGTGTTCTTAAAGACTTACTTTCTACAATACTATACTACAGACAGTAGTATAGTCTTAAAACAAGTTTTATAAAGAGTCATAAAGAAAGGACTTGCAACATTGACATTTTT